AGTTTCTAACTCTGACCAAATTACCTTTTCCTGCATTGACTTAGTAAGAAAGAATAGGGGTTGGGGGGTGGGGGGGGACAGATAATGATAGAATTCTCCTGTGATTAATTGTGAACAGGATACCCTGGAATGACATCCTGCTGTGTATAAAATGAGCCCTCTGAGAAGCACTAGCTTTACTAGAAGAGCCAGGAATGGAGCAAGTCCTATGAACACTGCATCCCTGCACAGTGAACTTCCTGAATCCAGAAACAGCTTTAACATCAGAAGAGCAGTAACAGAACAAGGAGCCAGAGCATGGACCGGAGTCGAGGGCTTCCCAAACTGGGGAGCAAGTAAAAGTGAAAGCTTTTGTGCTGGAGGCTGGATTGTGGAGTGGAGCGCCTCTGGGCATTTAATTGGGAAATCTGGGTTGTGCGCCTTTGTTCTGAGGCTTACTGGAGTGGGGTGCTTCTGTGTAGTTAATTCAGCGACTGGGTTTTGTAACCCAGGGAGCTGAAGCAGAATGTCTTTCAGTTGAGGTTTGCAGTGGAATGGTATGCTCCTTTGAGATATCTGAAAGAACTTTGTAACATGTCCTGATAAACAATTTTCCCGAGCATTTCTCACTGGCATTTACATCTGGAAATGTCCATAATAAAGTTTTAAATCATGGATTGTATCTGAGTTCTGAGTAGCCGTTTCAATCAATATTGGAAACTAGAGGGATAAAATAAAGGAAATGAATTATTACCAGTTAGTATTAATTGCTCATTACACATTTAAGTTTTAATTACATATAATTATTAATTATAATTACATTATTGCACATTTAGTATAACCAATTCAGATCAAAAAAATATATATGAGAAGTTATTGAAAAGCTGTTTTCATCAGAATGAAAAAAAATCACTCCCATCAGCCAATGCTGACACACAGCAGCCACCTGAGGATTTCCAAGAGCACTTAAATGTGTAGAAAGCCCAACCTTTCTCCTTTGGAGCTGCAGGTAGTTTGAACCGTGAACCATGTGATCCACAGTATCTAACTAATATATGTCCAGGGCTCCTGGTGTGCAAATGAGGTTAAAGTTAATATACATATTTAATAAGTGCATGAGAGTAACAAATAATTCCAACGTACATAGAAACTACCTAACACTTTCTTCCTTACAACAAATGGTGTAGGCTGTTTTCATGCAGAATGATTTCACTGGGACAAGAACATTCAGCAGATTTTTTAAAGACTGTGTCAGATAGTTGATGGAGCTCCCCATGTAGCACTGAGTTATACTTTTGCGCACACATATTAGGTAATAGTTGAAGCTCTGTAACTGCAGGGGTACTTTTTTCTTTAATATCAGCATTTATTAATGTCTTATTATGATTTTCAGCATAGTAACATGTTACAAAATCTATTTATTTTGCTCTATGAGTTCATAGTTCTTTTCAGTATTACATGTTTACTCATTCTGTATGCTCATCACTCCCTTAATTATTTGAAGTTTTGTATTGAACTTATTCACCCATTTCTTCTCATTTTTCACAGGTGTCTTTGGGATATGCACTGAGATGCAACATTTATCAGATCCTTTTCTCTGGATTTAGGATCCCTACTTGCTTTTAATTCAATTATTTTTTATTTAATTTTGTCGGCATTATCTTTCTTAAAAATTGTTTCATGGGCACATAAACTACACATCATATGATATAATAGTTCAATTATATCGAGCTGTACACTCTTTACTGTAATCCGTTTTAGAACACTTTCTTCTTTCATTATTAGCACCCCATTTCCTCCCAACCTTCCTTGCACTACTCCCCAAAACAATGAATCCAGTACTCTCTCTATAGACTTACCTATCTTGGATTTCATATAGCGAAAAACATACAAAACAAAACAAAATCCTACAAACAATAATAAAAAAGTAGAGAAAAATCTCAATTGAATAGAAAATATTGAAAATTAGATCAACTTTAAAATGGGCCAAGAGTGAGTTGAAATTATAAAATGTGAAATCTGAACATACATCTGCCATTAAGATCAAGGATTGTATTCTCTAGTCGAGGTTACAGTTTCATGTAAAGAAAACCAAAACATGCACAGCAAGACCAACAGGTATCATTATGATAAATAGAGCAGCATTTGAAGTTGTCAAAGATTTTGTCTTGCTTCAATCCACAATCATTGCTCACAGGAGAAGAAGTCAAGAGCTCAAAAGACATATTGCATTAGGTAAATCTACTGCATAAGATCTTGTCAGAGTATTGAAAAGCAAGGAAGTTACTTTGAGGACTAAGGTGCAACTGATCCAAGTCATGGTGTTTTCCATTGCTACATGTCCATGTGAGAGTTCAACATTAAGTAAAGAAGATTAAAGAAGATTCATTTAAATCGTGGTGCTGGCAAAGAATATCGAAAGTATCACGAACTACTAACAGGACAAAGAGATTTATCTAGGAAGGAGTACTGCCATAGTGCTGCTTAGAGGCTGGATGGTGACACTTTATTTAACATACGTTGAATATGTATGTGCTGTCAGCAGACATCAAATCTGAGGGGAATACCTTAGGCTTGCTAAAGTGGTGGGGTGGCAAAAGAGTAAAGCTTCAAGAGGAATGATTGACTCAGTGGTTGCAACAATGGGCTTAATTATAGGAATAATTATGAGGATGGCAAGGAACAAGTGAGAGTTTCATTCTGTGTGCATAACGTCACTATGGGTCAGAATCAACCAGATGGCCCCTACCAACAACAAAAATACCTGCCATAATCCACTTTCTGATGCACTCTTTATGTGAATAAGGCTATTCAGACCCCTAGTCAGAGGGATTCAGTGTAAACTTAATCTATGTCCTGATCCTGCAAAAGGATTTTGAGCTTCCACTATTTATGGTCTTCTGAAAACAAGATGTTCAAAATTTAAGCCAATGTGGTATTTACATAATCTGGAGTCAATCTGAGAGGATTACAAGTGTAGGGGTGGGGTCTGGCCTGTCAATCAAGCTAAATCCAGGGAGGCCTCTGCGTGGGCATGGCCTTCTCCTGAGAATTGTGGGAATTCCTGTATTTCCTCGTTGGAGGTGGAAGACACCTCTCTTTCTCAGATCAGTCTTTGTGAGACATCCTAGCTGACAAGAAACTCTCCCTTGGTCTCTACTGACAAGTCACATGGGACTACACTGATAGACCCCGTGCCC